CATGTAGGTGACCGTAAAAGTTTTGTCAATTAATTAAAACCGTCTTCATGGAAGCTCTCAACAAGAAAATATGTTACGTATATGAAAGCTCAGCTTTTTGTTTGCTCATTAAAATCCGTCTACATAACCCTCCGTTTTGTGTTTATCTTCATGCTGGTTGTCAATTCCTAGTTATCTTCTAAGTGACTGACAAGTTTGTGCATGGATGCAGCGCTCTTCGCTGCGTAGATATCACTTGTATTTGGAAGACCTAAAGCAGGATCCATCTCAAAGTGAAGACCAATATGCTTAAGAGGAAAAGTACTTCTTCCTTCCTCTTTACTCATGAATGCATCATGCTTTCCATATCTTGTCATACCAATTAGGAAGAGTGGAAACATAAATTTGTCTAAAACACACACATATGACTTTGGTTTATTAACTGAATTCCACAGCTGTTGAAGTGCGTCTTCACTCACCATGGGATCAGACATATACGAAGGATAACTGTGATCTGGTAGGTCTCCTAACCGGGTTTTTGATCAAATCCGTGTTTGTATGCTCAACAGGCAGATTAGCATACCTTCATCTCATTTCATCCTAGCTTACGGCACGGTCACCCGGACCATGGAAGCATGGAAGTTTCCGAAATTGCCATATCGGATCATCCATCGAAATAGAAGAAGACTTCATCACGGCGTACACGATTACAGTAAACACGAAGAACTTCAAGAATTTCCAAACAAATGCAACGATTTACAAAAAATTATCATTCATAAACAAGAAACTCAATTTGAATGCACAAAGCTGTGATACTGTGACAGGGCCTAACTGGGAGAAGACTTTGCGCAGCTTTCGTAAGATATTATCGATTTTGCACACCATACGTCTGCCACTTTTGAGCCAATACTTCGTGTGTTTGCACCGGGCCACTATATTCACAACCGTTATTTTATGATAACTGTACCATCTGAAAACCAGACACTTAGCTGCTAAAGTTTATTAAACTATAATTTCCAAAGCTTTTTGTATGTAAATCAGTTTAATATGGGCTTGTAATTTGGCAAAGTTTTACCCTTAACACTGGAGTCTTTTCAGGTCAGATGAACTAGTAAAAAATTTTAAGAAAAATTAGTATGACGCTAGGGAGATTTATAACCAGGGCCAGTGGATAAATGTGATTACATTTTTTACTATCCAATAGCTTGTTCTGGTGGTACAATTGGCATGCATGGATCATTCAATTGTGAGACACTGTTGTTTTTAGTTCTAATGATGATAGTTTGACGTTTTCGCTCCAACCTGAATCCGTCCGCCAAAGCTGCTCAAACTGGCCGAGTTAAGTCAGTCCGCCACGTGTGTGCTAGTTCCACGCCGTCTATTCTGTTTTTGTACTTAGTGGATTGGTTATCTCGAGTTCATCGGCAACTAACCTTTGGCTATTTGCTCTTATCCACTCCAAATGACCTCTATATTGTTCCCGCCGATTAGGTATCCCGAGACTAGTGCATATACGACCACCACCCTCATTTCTAAATTATAATTAACAACTCGTTTCTCTGAGTTGACGAGTTAGGAGTTGTTTTGGACGTCATTTCTCCATTGGCATTGAGTGACCAGTTCATACGCAGATCGTCAAGTATTAAATCTGTGGGGAGTCCTTTTATTCCGAAATTTAAATCAGTCTATTCACATTGCCGAAAAGGTTGTAAGGCTAGACACATGTCATTTTTCGCTTTTCGAGTGAAAGTAGTTCAGTACCACCTGATTGCATTCTTAGATTTGTGACGCATGTATATTGCCACATTGGTTTCACAGTTCATTTGTAAGCTTCTTTGGGTTACATAAGGTAGACTACACATTGACTGTACGGCCCATAAAACTATATACAAACGCAGCCGATTGTCTAGAGAGCCCCTTGTTGATCTTATTGTTAACAAGCATCTGGACGGTTGTATCAGTTTTCCTCCAAAATTCAGAACGACCTCATTCATCCACTACATTTCAACCTATCAAAAACACTATCTGCTTCCTCTAAATGCTCCAAATTTAAGCTTTCGTTTTCTCGTTCTGTATCTTACCGCAGTTCTGTTATACAGTTCCTGTCCCGCTTGCACGTTGACACAGAAATATCAGCAGGATGCGGAATTATTTACTCGAGTGCTATGTAGAGACAGAGTTTTTGACCATTTATAATTTTATTTAACAGTAATATCACAAACTTCACCATCCGCAGTGTTAGTGTAATATACTGAAATAAACTTACTTGGGTGTGACAAGCCTATTTTAACTTGACCTGAGTTGAGCGAATATTTTCTATTTAGTTTGTCTATGGAGTTGGCGTTCGTGTAGTGCCTCTCAAGATGACAAAAGATATCCCAAAATTCGCGATAAGTATAGTTTGCGCAATACAATTCGTAAATTTGCGCTAATGATTCTTTATTGTCGTAGGTAAGTTAACTTAATATATTTAATAATATATGCGTAATTCTATAGTAATTTGTCTATCATGTCGACTATTTCAAACATGTGTGATTGATCATACTATTGCAGCGACCAGTTACCCAATGGAAATTCATCTCTACACGACTGCTCCTGACCAAGACGTAAATTGTACAACTGTGAGTATCTGTGAGTGCGATAATCTATATGCGTTCTGTATGTGAACAACTGCGCTGTTTTTTAGTGTGAATTAATACCCAGGAGTTTTTCCCATTTGGTGGCTCAAACAAGACATTTGTGTGATGATTACAACGGTGGTTGCCAGCAGATCCCTGTTGCTTGCTAGTCGAGTTCAATGATACTGGGGCAATTTATGAATGAGCTAGTGTAAGTTAGTTGTTGCAGCTTGCAAAGTTATCGTTAGCCAACTTACAGAACCGGTCCGGAGTCCTTTGTTCTCAATTGACGCCTTACCACTATGAGATCCAAATGGAGAGGGTGTGTTTTTGGGCCATCGCATTTTAGACATGCACATGGATTTTAGGATGCATATCACCAACTATAATATATAGATTTAACAAAAGTTTACCATATAAAGTTAGATCTAAACAAAATCATGGAATGCAGCGGCGAGCAAAATGTTCAGATATTGTGCCGCAAAAAATGGAACCTTATTGAAAACCGTGAAGTCATTGATGTTATACGTTTTTGCTAGATGGACGGTTGACCACCGTTAGATCCTTTTTCTTTCATTCCTACACGAGAAAACGGGGCACGGTGAGGGAAAAGCTCCTCCGAAATAACCTGGACGTGATAGAGCCATCCCAGCTTGGGTGGTAAAACCTGATTGTTTAATTGAATACATGCATTCCCCAGAACGCATCGACCGGCTTAAGTGCCACAGATGCATTGTTGCCACAACACGCGAGCAATCCCCCTCAAGCACCCATTGTCGAATGTTGAGAGACGGCACATGTTTCCACCACATTAACCACAGAGACAAATGTCTTAAAGATTCTAAACGTATGTTTTACCAAACATAATTTCATATTAAAAATGGACTGAATTTCTTCATGGATATTTTAAGATTAGTCTTCAGTCTTCCACGCAGGGTGCCCAGTTGACGGAGTAACTTGATAAGGCGAATGGGAAAGAGCGTTAGTTGGGGGCTGTACAAGACTTAGCTAATATCTGATCCAGTGCTACTGTCTCGAAAAAGAAACGTGCACATATTCATGAAGCTAGACAAGATGCTGATGGTAGGTTTTATGTCCATTGTGATGTAAATAACCGATATAATAAGGAGAATTTTTTGACGAATTTTCTAGTGAAATTTGCAATAGTGATAAGATGATGCCTCTGGACCCGCAACTCGTTATCACTCGTGTACCAATGTTGTTCTGTTGCTGTAGTTACTAGTTAACACAGCAATAAATTGTGTGTCTTACGGCTTGTGCAAAAACAAAACGAGTAAGCAGGTGAAGAAAGATAACTTCAGAAGAATTACATAGAAATGTTTCGATCACAAACGAACAAATGTGTCAATGGAAACGAAACGAGACTTTCCAACTGCACTGTGGCAGTTGAAATTTCTATACAAATATTGCGCAGAGAAGAGAGTAATAAAGATAGTTATGTATCCAAATGAGTAGAGGTGTTAAATACTGAAGCGACGTCACTAATTCTGGACAAGGAATTTATCTATATTAATGACATAGATATTGATTGAATCCTTTCATACGAAAGCGTTTTTATCGCTGGCTACAACTGGTATATGTTAGTAGGGTATAACATTAATTTGGGGATAAGATTGGTGATTTGCATGCGGATAACGAGTGATGAGCGCATCATATTTGGTCCTCTTACCATCCAGTTTATCTGTAGCTTGGATCACTGCTTGCTTGGATAAGGTAAACCAGTCGTTAGTGCTATGTTCGTGATTGATTGTAATGAATCTTGATGAGTTGCTGACGGGCGTATATATTAGCAGTCGCTTTAATCATACGGCTTTAATTACATTTTTTCGTTTAATATGAATATTGATCAGCTATAGTTTTAGGTACACAAGAAGACAAGTATTTTAAAGCTGGACACTTCAGTTAAATGAACCTTTATTTTTGTTCCTGACAGAGGATGTAACTTCTTGAAACCTGTAGGTTTAGGTCAACCTGGCCATAATGGTATTTGTCTAATGATACCATTTAATATCACATTTGTTAAGTTGACAACGGTTTGGGTGATACAAGGACGTATAATATCATCCACTGAAATGCATTCTCTACTGACATTAGGTGCAGGCGAAGAACACGTGAAATACAATTATTGAGGTCAAAGTTTATTCTAGCTGGATACAGTGTTACGTACAAACGGATTATTATTGACTTCTGTGTAAGCAAAATTAAGTTGCTTACTGGATTATAAAGCACTCATGTTAATTGATTTCAATCTTAAAAATTTTCTGCCAACAGGTGATTAGCAACATAAGAAAGGCATCTCCATTGCTAAGGCCAATTGATTGCAAACACCAAGCGGGCAAGTCCGAAATCGCACAAAGCTACCACCACCGATTTGAAGTTAATATGCAAATGCCAGACACAAATGACCACCCTGTAACCGAGATTATTTTATTTCAACTGCTCTGGATACAAGGTACGCTGGAATTCGAACGAAGCAATTGCACACAGAGGGGCTTCCCCATGTATGATCCCGAAAGCGAAGTATGGAGTAAGATAAATATTCACAACTAACAAAATTGACATTACATACGTATGCAGCATCCTACATACATGGGTAGTCTGTCAGGGCGCAGTGTGAAATGCAACTAATTTACCTTGAATGTGATGGGTTAGTGCCGTTTTGATATAATTTATTCGCAACTCATTGTGAAGTGGACAATGCATGTTCTGCTTGCACAAATTAGAAAACAACTATAGACACATAACTTACAAAGCATTCGGGATTCTTCAATATCCTTAAAAGGCCGAACCAAGTTTTCAATTGTTAGTCATTGAAAACGCTATAGTCTTTCGACAAATGGTATGACGCATGAACATTGAACAACATTATGCAACAAGCCGCAACTCATGCAAAATTCGATGAATATTTAGCGAGGTGCAATTCCCACTAAAGTACGATCCGTCCGATTTCATTAATTTACATCACTTTCCTTTATACACATACATTAGAATAAAAGTAACTAAGACGACTGTAAATCCAAAACGCACTTCGTTTTTTTTTCATAAATAGTTTCTCCAGTTTATGCAGTTCCACAACAATAAATCTAGATAAATACCGGCTTGAATTAATGCCAAAAAATGTTCTTCCTTACATCTGATCACATTAGTCGAAAATGTATCATTATCATGCAAGGTGTGTGTTTAAAACAGAAGGAAAACAAATCATATCTGTTTCTCTTGGTGCCCCATACAATAGCTTGCCTAGTACGAGATGTGGTTTGCGCAGTATAAGGCATCTTTCAAGAAGAAGCATAATGTTATATGGGATATCTAGCATATAGTGCCTACTGACTGAAATTAGCCACAACTTCCATCTAGGAAGAAACATGTGCCCAATCTGAATTGCTGCTTCTAAACGTGACCGTGCTTATGTTTTAACGCCATCAAGATCATTACGCATTTTTCCTGTTCCTTAATTGCCATACACATGTGTCCGCAATCCAAAGTCTTTATACCTTATTATTGACTAGATTTCGTAATCTGGATCAACGAAAACCGTATGCCACCATTAACTGTACTACAGTAAGTTTCTGACGTTATTTAACCACTTCTTTGATAGATTACGGCGTTAAAATGTGATGTCATATTCTTTGGTTAATTTACCGGATATAACAATTTAGCCAGTCTGCAAGTAGAAATCAGTGATGCAATCCATAGAATGCGCTACACATTGTAGTATGTAGAAACCTGAATTTCTTATGTGACCCGTGTTGTTCACACACAGCTTCAAATTGCGGATGATCATCTATCACCTTTATAAAACAGCTGTCGAAATTGTCATATCAAATATGGTTGAATGAACCTAGGCAAGAAGTTCAACACCACACTTGATGTCACTCAAAGTATTACAGAATGGGCGGTTTCTTATGCCAAGCAATCTTCGGCACTGCTATACACTGTTGATATGCATAACATGACTTGTCTTTCGGTGCAATGTTATTATATTACTGAGCTGATTTAAACTTTATCAATCTTTACAGATCTATGACCACTCACCATGTTTGCCTAAATCCTGTGAGCTGATATTGATTCCTGCGTACAAGGGCTCTCATTTAATCCATATACAATTCGAGGCTTCCATTTGTGGTCAACTGGTCGGGTCCGCGGATGAGAAAGAAGCGGCGATTCTCTTCAATACTTTCTGGAATGGGTTGCATACACCGTGTCCATTCAACCCTTATAAAAAAACGAGGGATTCGTTTCACAAAGGTTAGCAAACATAAGATATGCGACAGTCATGCGTATTCGGGATTAAGCGTGCAAAATCAGACGTCTTATCAATGAAAAGAATCCCGTAAACTGCTACAGCATTTGTGACCTTCTGTCCAACGTACTAAACATAAAAAGCATCAAATGCCTTAAGTGCTTTCATTACTGGACTGCTGCAGAATTTTAGATTTGGCTTAAGGATTTGATGGCAATTTCTTGTACAACAAACCCTTCTTCATTGGTGACAGATTCACATGTGCGTTGAGATATGCCATCGTTCAATTAACATAATCAATGGGGAGAAATTTCGAGAGTCGTACTGCTCGTTCGCCTCGTGCATAATTCTCTCAGAAAACAGATTCCAATAGGACTCGTGTTACCTACTCCAATGTCCCTAATGCACTTCAAAATCTAGCAGTTCCTTTGTGTTGATGTATTGCTTACCACCTAGCCTAGGAAAATTCGAATATGCAGGCCAGTTGAGAATCAATTTGCTAGTGACACCGGTGGTGTATGTTTGGTGTTTTGTTCTCTATGCCACAAATTTACTTACCCACATAGAAAACCGATCAGCTTCTTATGTATCATACAGTGTTATAATGACGACATGTTCCCTTTAATTTGTAGAGGCAGAAGAAGCATATTACTGTGAGTATAATTTATATTACGCAAAGAACGGTTGTGGTGGCTTCTATTCTTCGGCCTTGGTAAAAAATAACTCTTTCATTTAAGCGCAAATACCAACCGTCGATTTACTTTAAACGTCGTCGTTGTGATTTATGCATATGTTTCCGATATTATGACCATATTCACGAATATTTCTTAACTTGGCATGCCTGGATTAATGTTTGTTTAAATCGAGCAATTTAGAAATGAACAATTATTAGCCTATGCAATGTGTAAGCCTTACATTGGTGCAAATCCCAACACAACTATAGCTTTATTCTCAGTTACACCGTATCCAGGGTGAATATACTAGAAAGGATATTTCGGATATTTTCAGACCAACTAGTAACTTTGTAAGTATAACTCATATGTGAGTACGTGAACTTGTGCAGATGGGTCAGCAAGCTGCTGGTTATTGGCTAATAGCATTACCAGTATTAAAATGTTAATCCGTTTTGCATGGTAGGATATCCATCCCACAACCCTCTATATACGCTACCATACTTTCGCTTATTATATTCAGTCCACTTAGGTGTACGTGAATTTGCATTTCCTTCCATTACGAACTTAAGGCACATGCTACACCTGTGTGCTTTTACCCGTCATATCACACCGTTCTAGTATTCCGTTGTTCCATTATAAAACTCATATTCTCTTGACCGAACTAAATTATACCCATAGCCATTCTGTAACGGAAAGCTGGTATATTTCATAAGCGCACGTCCGAATGTTGTGGCGTCAAATATGGGCACAGTATTTTTCATAATATATCCAATCGAATAACTTGTGGCTTAATTCGTTCTCGCAAGCATGGATGCAAAATTGCGCCGTAGACACTGATGGCTAATATTTTGACCAATTAGATGAACAATTATGGGGAGTATCTTAAAACCGGGAGGGCCATATTAATCCAATTGTGTTATTTGTAGAATATAACAGGCATTTAAACGGGCACCTATAACTGTATAGCTTGGAAACTGTTGGAAACGTGATTTGAGCTGTCTGAATTATACAAATTGTACCAATTCTTCCAGTGCGACGTCGGGTCCCAATGGCCTACACACCTTAGTATTAGGGTTTGCGTTTACGAAATCGTTCACCTCTCAGACGTTCTAGTCTCGCGACTGCTGATGCTATCAAATTTATTGCTACATTAGTGTAGATGTGTTGATTATACGTCCTTCATATCTTTTTGTGAACTTATGAAATTGTCTGCACTAATGAGGTGTAAAAAGAACACGACAGACAAAGTATTTTGTCGATGTAGTAATGGTACAACTCAGCGTAAGCTGGAAAGTTTTCAGTCAAAATTTTGTTAGTGAAAATAATGAATTTAAAGCAATCAGTACACACCGGAACCAATGTGATTTTGAGTTGGCAGAAAGGCAATGCAGCCGAAGGAGATTAGAGCGTATGGCCCGCCATTTTAGTTGAGTAGCGAGCACAGAGAATGAAGTCACAATTAATGTTAGTAAAATTAATATATGCTATACGTGTATATGTTAGCAAATATTTGACAGGTGTTGATTTAGGAAATTTGACGAGGGTATTTATGATATGTTTCACATGAACATTACTTTGGACAAACAACATCAACTTGAAGCATCCAAATATTAACCAACCAATGTAGATTAGGATACGTGTGGACATTCAACTAACTATCCCTTTCGCTTGCGGCCCTCTACCTACTAGCCTAGTCAAACACATCCGTCTATTCACCGTGATTGCACATACCCATCGCACATGTCATATTTCGAAAGATATGCGTAATTACATCATTAATATATAGTCACCATTTCGGAGTGGGTACTTTCCTTCGAACGCCCCAACTCAGCTCAATAAATACAGTTTCCAAGAAACTGTTCAACATTCCCCAATGTTTGACGCATCATCTGCCTATTTAGCCATGTTTTGAATTGTAATACATTTGTATCATTAAGATTGACCATATGTACTACGAAATAACTACATAAAACATGCACCGATTACCTACAGACGCGCTGGTCTCTGGTCCATCAGACGTGGATGTATGTCAAAAGGTAAGATCGCAGCCATTTACGTTGCAACAACTATCTAAAACCTATTTATTCTAACTTAAGTGTGAAAATTCTATTTCCTGCAAAAGTATTCCATTGTATTTTTACGATTTGCCGCCTTGACAAGCATAATTATCTCCACTTACAAACAGTTGCTAGGTCAGCGACTCATTTCTGCTTAGCTGTTGTTTCCAAAAGTGTATGTTGCTTTTAGAATATTGTGATGTGACTTAAGACTTGTCACTCATCAAACAATTGGATGAATAATAACATCAAATGTTGAGACGACTTTTCTTAATTCGTTATCCACGTTGTTATTATCATTATCAGGCGAAAGATTATGAAACCTACGGCACTCACATTTGCGAGGAAATTCGAAATGTAAACATGACCAGTGCTGCCAATAGTCAGCGGACATTCCGCATGCGTCAGAAGGATTTAATCTATATTTCTGACATTCCATGGTATATAAATGAACACAGCAAATTCGTACACTTCTTGAACACCGGCAGTTCGAACTGCAAATTCAATGGATACGTGCACTTGAATGAAAGTATGTTGGTATAATCTGTTGCAGAAATGTGTTTGTGACTGCATGCAGTCATTATGTTTGATCGTGGAGTAGTACTTGACTGGAGGCTCGAGTTCCAAGCGATTACCACATGAACATATTTATATTGGGTTTAGCCGTTTAATGGCATTCATAATGATGCGCGGATTGGAGGAACGCACACGTTACTAGCCCGTTACCAAATTCATCATCTAAGCTGAGAAATCAGTTCTTTCAAGAACCATGGCTGCTGATTTGTAAACGTTCATTTGAGCAAACTATATATTTCATCACTTCTTTTGTGTAATCTTTGTCTATGGACCTGCAGATTGCTTTCGTTTTCAGTTAATGCAATTTGCCAAAAATTCTAATCAAACTGTTGACGTCAGGTAATATTGAAACGCCAAGGAGGAAGATGGGATGATACTTATATAGCTGGAGGTTCATCACGTTCTCACTACTTTCTGGTAATTGTCAAGTTGTGTGTTCGAGCCCCGAAAGGGCCAGATAACATGCGAACCGCTGATGCTTCCCATAAAAATGACAGAGGTGTACAGGACTTTTCCGGGAAGGTGGAGGCTGTCTGACTGAGTTTGGCTGGGAGGAAATACTTCTCAATATCTCAACAAACGATTAGATAATGAAATGTATCTAGCGGGTGGTACTTCCAAGTCTGAGATTACACCGTTAGGATAAAAACCATGTTCTAACATGTTAAGCTCATTATGCCATATTAAACAACATTCGAATTTGCCCGTTCTATTTCAACTAACGCATATTTTTTAACCACATATAAGACATTACAGAATACACCTAAGTAAATGTCCTAAAATCTATTTGTATTTCATATTCATCGTAATGGTACCAAATGTATGCCCTATTACCTTAATTTACTGCATTCCAGCTGAAATTAATCGTGTGTTACGAGGCCACACATCATCGTCCCGCTTCCCTTAACATCGCCAACGGATGCTGTGATGGTATCACGGACTGCAAACATCATCCTATCTGCCGTACTGCAGTGGCCCTCCTTATACACAAGGATCACCCAATTGAATGATTAACAACGTACATTGCGAATTTGAGGATTTGGTTTGACATATCATTGCACACGTTTGTCATTTCTTTAAATCTCCAGTTGAATGAAATACTTGATTTTGTGCGGGCATTCACGGCGTTTGATTACCCCTGTGTTTGGAGTATATGGCACATACTTTTTGCAACGCACCTCCGTAGTCTCTGGGAAAAGTTGACCTTTTGTCATTGCGAATATATAATGTAATGTTGCGGGGATCAACGTTTGTCGCGGCTAGGCAATAACCATGCAGTCATAAATGTGTCATGTAAAAACGAGCCTGTTGGAACTACAACACCGAGCTGACATCAAGTAAAAGACATGTTTTGAAGCAGCCAGCATCATTATCCGGATGACAGGAGACAGCTTGCAATGCAAGCAGGGTGATGGGTACATAAGAGAGGAAAAGCAGGTGGCGGATGTTTTACGCCATAGTGTGTGCACAGTGGTTCTAGGTCTAGTGGTGGTTTAGCAACAAAGGATTGGCTGATGATTTCCCACATTGGTACACATCGTGATCTACCCAGAGGCTGCGTTTTGGCATGCAAACATGCGGTGAGGATGGTGGAACGGCACAAAAACATCTATCACAAATAAAACAGCTGATGTTTGGTCGCGTCTCATATGATGGTTAAGCAACAGGTGCCGAAAGCAACGAAGTGTCAGTCAGTGAGCTTGAATAAATTTGCTTAACCTCAGCGATACCAGCTGTAAGTGTACCTGGGTGGAAGTAGATAACTGTTAGGAAGGAATACGCGATGCGAACAAGCCAGGAACCCATCGCCACGCAGACGATCCAAACTCATCCGCCCTGTTTGGGGCGAACAGAGAGCCAACCGGAGAAGCGGCCAATTAACGCAAGGGCGGCGTTCCCTAATTGGCTGTAGGTTGACCCTTCCAGAACTTCCCACGTTCGCTTTAAATACCATTCACGAACTTTCCATTTCACCTTTATA